ATGCAATATAAGCAGCACCCATTCTCTTTGGTTTACGGCATGGAAGCGGTAGTACCAGCCGAACTCAATGTGCCCGGACTTCGCCGAACAGAAGCACCGTTAAATGAGGAAGAAAATTCAGCAATGCTTAAAGATTCACTAGATACCATAAATGAAAGGCGTGATCAAGCTCTAATTCGGATCCAGAATTACCAACAAGCAGCAGCCCGATATTATAATTCTAAAGTTAAAAGTAGGCCGTTCTTCGTGGGAGATTATGTATTAAGGCGCGTCTTTGACAACAAAAAAGAAGAAGGAGCCGGTAAACTCGGTATTAATTGGGAAGGACCTTACATTATTACCGAGGTGGTTCGAAACGGCGTTTATAGGTTAAAAGACCTGGAAAACAATCCAGTCAAGCGACCTTGGAATGTGATCAACTTAAAGAAGTTTTATGTTTAAAAGCTACATGCATTGTTTATGTACATGAACTACGATTTGGCTTGATCCCGAAATGGGTACGTAGGCAGCTCGAAAACGAGTTCAGCTATTAATAAAATGGTTGTTTTATTTCTTTATTAATAAAAGGTTCGGCTATGCGAACATACAAGAGATTGGAAATAAAGCGTTTATTCAAAAAAAAGAAGAGACGAAGTGTCCCTCATCGTACACTTCGAACTACGAAATCCTTGTTGACGAGCAGAACACTTCAACTCCTTGACCAGCAAGATCGAGGATCGGTATCATGCAGTCCGGAATTCGAGCAAAGTCAGAAATCCCAAGCTCAATCCACTCTCCGGGGTGAGATTCAAGGATGTGAAGACTTCTTGACACTGTAGTAAGCCTGCGTTGCATCCGGTTAATCCTCTTCCGAAGTCTCCTCTTTTCTGACGTAAGCTTCCGGTGTTGAAGCTCGAGCGCCTCTATGAACGCCATCGCCGTTCCTTGATCTCTGGTTGGGAGATCCCTGATCAATTCACAGGAGGCTCGGATCTGAGATCTCAAGAAGCTGCGAAGTGGAGGAAGATGCCTGTTTGGCTCATTTGGAACATCTTCGTTCATCATTCCGATTCTGTAGAAGTCGGGCATAGACTCCGAACAGCGAAGATTGAACTCCATACCTGCTAAAATGAAAAGAAGGGTGAGAAGTAAAGGGGAATTGAACCTGTAATTTATAGGAACCCCATATCCTTAGCAAGCTGCGGATTCTATCCAAGGGATGGAGTGATTCGCGGAGAGATTCATGCCCTCAAACAGATCCTGCATTAAAAGGTGCATCTCCGAGAATATTTTAAAAGAGAGGTAAGTTGCAAATATTTCCATAAATAAAAAGGGCCGAAGCCCATCACGAGTTTTTTAAAAAGAAAAAGAAAGAAGAAAGTGAAGAAATTAAAGAACATTTATTGGAGAGGCTCAGGAACAGGCTCCTTCATCGCCGATTTAGTTCCCGAAGTGGACGCCTTGTTCGTGACATCCACTTCGGAACGATCCCGAACGCGTTTCCGGCAGTTGTTGGCCTCCTCCTCCAAGTCCTCTTCCTCTTCACTGTCAGACGAAACGGCGCAGACAGGGGCGTTCACGGGACCCGGGACTCCTCTAGCGCGGAGATACATCCGAAGCATCTTCGGGATCTCAGCAACGGAGTCAAAGTTCCGCCACTCCCATTGAAAGGGATTGCTCTCCAGGGCCCGTATCTTCCTTTCCACCCGGGCGATGCGAGCCTCGAGCGTCTGCCTTTTGAGTCCCAGCCGCTGCCTCTCTTCACACAAGCGACGGTGCTTGTCGGCGACCTAGCATAAAAATGGGTGAATAAGGCAAAACAAAAGTTTTTAAGTCAAAAAACTTTAAATATTTACCTTGTCGATGAAGTCGCAGGCCTCTTTCTTCTCCTTTGAAGGGAAGTGAAAGACGGCGTGAGGAAAGAGAACGCCAGCCGGTTCAAATCCGTCGCCGGACAAGAAAAGGGGGCTGCCGGGAGCGATGGGGGCTACTTCTTCGTTTTCCATTCTTAAAATATTTCTCAAGTGAGATTCTATAGTCATGTTTAATAAAGCCTAGAGGTAGGTAAGCCTTTATTTATAATGATTTAGGGTTTGTCTTGGAACCATAAATCCATTAATGGTAGCGTTTCCGAGTGGGTTAAGCCACTTTTGGAAAATCGAGAAAAGGCAATTATTACATTAAAAGACGAGCCGTTCTCTTTAAGAAGGGAAAGAGCAACCGTCACATTAATTGCAAAAGTTTCTAAGGCCCAAGCCTGACAAGTTTACCGAGTTGACTAAACCCGAAGTGGGGAACTCGCTTTAAGCCGAGCTCAGCTCTCGCATTCTAAAGAGAAAGGTCTGATCAGCCTAAAAATCTCGAAAGCATTGCCACAAGGCCACAAAAGGTTAAAAGCGGACTTTGCAAACCCGCATATAATTTTAACCAGACCCCCTTGGGCCACAACCTAAGAAAGGTTTAAAAGCCTCCTCAGGCAAATATTTTGTTCAAAAGAAAATAATAAAGCCTCCTTAGGCAAAGACAAGTTTGAAATTAAGTCTTAAAAATAAAGGGACAGTCCCCAATTTAAAGTGGACACAGCCACTACGGAGCAGCAGCCACCTCGGAATCCGGCTCAACAGTCGAAGCTTCATTCGCGTCCTTGGCAGCTGCTTGATCAGATGAAGCTCCTTGACCACCCTCCGCGGTACAACCAGCCTCCGGAGTGACCTCTGGTACCATTGGAGCTGCGGGCGGGACAACGTTTTCCGTCTCACTTGAACCTAGAAATAATGATTCCAGTCAATCAAAGGTACAAGGTAAGGAAAGGTAAGCCCGCAACCCTTGAAATAAATCTCATACACACAGAAGTAACCATCGCGATGGTTCTCTGGAGATTCTGTGGGAGAAGCTATTTGTGCTTCCGCCATAATTTCCGGCGGAATCCGGCAAAGCTCTCTCAATCGCTCGAGGGATTGAAGAGTACAAGTGGACCTGTAGTGCGGACCGGCAATGTCACCAGGGCGGGTGCATTCGTCGTTACTAGAACGCCTCTCGTCAAAAGACGGAGACTCGGGTCTATCGGAATCAGAAGTCATTGGGAAGAAAGAAAAATTCAAGATCCGGCGAAGAAGGGTTTTGGTGAAGGAACGAAGAGAGAGGTTTTGATTAAAGTACAAAAGTAAAAGAAGAGAGTAATGGTGAAAAGAAGTTACCTCAAGCTAATGATGAAACCGCCTCGGAAGTCGTGTGGGAAGTGGGAAGGTTTTTCCCGTTTTAATAGTAATTAATCAATATACGGTCATAATGATGACAGATGTCACTCGGTTAAAAATGGATAGTGCCAAAATTAAAGGAGTGATGAGATTTTCGGCGGGAAATCAGAAAGATTCTCGAGCGCAATCTTTGGCCACTTGAGCATTTAAAGTCCTCCGAACTGGAATAGCATTTCGAAGAACTTGGGGGGCTAATTGTTGGTGTCGGATCCCGCACCAGAAGTACGAGACCAACCAAAGATTGCCACGTGATCAAGATAATGGCCCATAAAGGATGAAGCCCATTGGACCCGTGAGCCGAAGGGACGGTCGAAGTGGTTGTCACCATTTCGAGAATCCGAAGTGACTACACTGTGACACGAGTTCGGTGTAAAAGACACGGGTAAGTCGGTTCACGGACACTTGGGCCGAAAGAGGCGAGGCCCATGAAGATCAGAGTCAACTCAAATTCAAACGTTGAGCATTAAAGCCGAAGAATCAAAACGGACACATTTAAGAAGAAATAATTGTGCTTAATTACTCATTTTAATGTCGTTTATCGGTGTATAAATATAGAGGCCGATGGCCATGTAAAGGGGATCTTCCTCTGGAGAGAAAAATAATAGAGCAATTTTCGTATCAATTTATAAGTTTTTATATATTCATTTTTGTCCCTCAAGAATAAACTTTCCCACTTAACAAAAATACTTGAGTGTGTGAATCCGACATCCACAGCAGTAGGAGAAGATATTGTTGTAGGTCGTCGTTGTTTGTAACGGAAATGAGAATTTGCCAGGGCCAAGGCCAAGAATGCCAGCAGAACCGATGAAAACTCCTTTGTTATTTTCACCGCAACCAAAGTAAATATCGTCCAAGACATCAGAGTTTGTTAAGGTAAACTTCTCCTTGGCTAGGAATCCGACGGTAACCGATCCATCACCGTAACCGATTCCGTATAGGCAATTGGAAGCCGAACAACTTTCGGGGTTTCCACACATTGGAGATGAGCACGAGACGTTGTGGTAAGAAGAAGATGAAGAAGGGTTAAATTTTGGTTCCTTTTGTGAATAGCAACTTCCAAGACATGGCTCGCATTGAGTCCATGTCAAATCGCTTCCAGTGTCGAACATAAGCGATATATCGTGCTTCGGTGTCCCAATTCCGATTGTTACGATGTAGTTTGGTGAACCGAGTATGATTCCATTTTTGGCTGGTAGCTTCGTTGATTTGGCTTTGCTGACTTCATCTGCAATATTCTTTGACAGTTTCGAGTGGATGGACTCCACGCGTGCTTCATCACGTCTGAGGATTTCGTCATGGTCGAGTCTCGCATCTTTGTTGCTGCTAAGATGGGAGCACGCACCATGCATGTGCACCACGCGCAGCGATGACTTGGTATTAGATACTGTGCAGAAAATTCATGTTAAAAATAACAAAAGAGACTCAAAACTTCACAACTATTGCAAAAAAAAAAAAAAAAAAAAAAACTATTGCAAACAAAACAAAAACAATAACAAAAAACTTATAAACACAATGGATGATTAGAGAGTACATAGGCTAAGATAATCACCTTTTGAAGAAGGGACACAAGATGATGATGAAGGAAAAAGAGAGCTGACTTGAATGGTGTAAGAGTCAAGTACCTTTCCACTCTCTCTTTTCTCAGCTCCTTCAGTAAAACACCAATTAAGACATACACAAAGAAGAATTATCATATTCAAGAAATTCCTCATTATGCTCATTGTTACCCCTCTCTCTCTCTATCTCTCACAACAATAAATGTGTTACATACATGAAATTGGTTAGTCCTTTTATAGCCATTCTCTTTGCTTAAGATAAGTGTCTAGTGGCTGTTGTTAAAGTCTAAGCTATCACATGCATTTCACATTATTATGTAGGGACTCCATCTCGTTTGTGTTTGATATGTCGTCTCTCGAGACGACTGACTCCAAGTCTCAGGTCTCCATGTCCAGCGTTCTAAAGGGGTTGTAACATTATCTCTATATATTATTGTTAACGTGTAATTTTGTCTATAGGCTCCAAGTTTGGCGTAATTAATCGTCAACTAGATGTTGATGTCATTCTGTTCTTTTGTCTTCACTCGAGTCTCCAAGTCTAGCGTACTAAATGGGTTGTAATATTCCACTTAAGTCTAAGCGTGATTGATTGAGCAGTGAACTAATTAAGTTTATTTTTTTGTAACTTTTTTCATTAAATATTAAATGGCTATACATTGTTCCTTATTTAGGCTTTACAAAAGAGATCAAGAAAAAGGTAGAACCAGATTTGTGAACTTGCTTAACGATTAGTGCAACAAACGAAGAAGTTTTGATTAATTAGTAGATGAGAGTAACTCCATTTAAGTGCTACAGCTAGCGGAACTAGTTTTGCAGATGGTCTGAAGCTAAATCTGGCCGGTTGTGGCTGTAATATGAAGCTTTAATCCTTAGGGTAGTAGCATCGATGGTTCTGAAATTTGAAAAAGCAGTTTTTTTTTTACATTCGCACAAATTACCATCTGTCACACACCCAAATTACACACTTTGTTAAGGATAAAAGCTAATTTGTGTGATGTACTAATTAACTACAACCATTCGGAGCAAACCCGACCCGTCCACCCACTCCGTCGTACACAACTTGTAGCGTCTGCTGCTGAACGCTTCCAAAGATGGCGACGTTGTCGTCGGGATACTCTGCAAACGCCAAACAAAGCTTTGACCTCTCGGACGACGAATACAAAATCCCTTTAGGATCAAGTTCCACGACGGTGCCGCCGCTGAAGGAGAACGCAATCTTCGTGATTGTCACCGTCTTCAAGCCTGTAAAATCATAACACGTGTCCAATTCAGAATCTCCCGACGACGTAATCGTATACTTGGACATCTTCTCCTTAAACGCGCTCTTCAATGCCGCATAGGCCTTTGGAGGAAATACGAGTAATCACGGTGCCGGAGTCGATTATAGCACGGGGCGTTGAGGATTCGATTGAAGGAATTTCCAATTGCTTATCGCAGACGGTGATTCCTTCGATATTAAGGTAATAGAAGTCTTTGCTTGGGGAGGAAGAAACCGGCGTGAATTTGACGGATTTAGAGATTCCGGTTGATCCGAAGGTGAGATGACCACTGGTGTTGCTAACGGAAGAAGGGAGGCAGTAGGAGAAATTTTATTGTAAGTCTTCGCCGTCTACGACGGAAAGGAGAGTTGACCGGGTCCAAGCCCAAGAAGTCCGGCGACTCCTTCGTAGTAATCTCCCGTATTGTTCTCACCGCATCCAAAATTAACGCCGTCGAAGAAATCGGAGCTCATGAGGGTAAACTTTTCTTTGGCGACAAATCCTTGGGAAGTCGAAGTATCGCCGTAGCCGACACTGTAGCCGCAAGTGGAATCTGAACAACTTCCTTGGAGACCTAAACAGAGAGATGAAATTAGAAGTTTAATTCAAAAACTCGGTTTAACGTAACCGGAACAACACAAATTGCAAAACCGTAAAACATGGTCAAGACTCGTCGTGGCTTTGCCACTGATGAGATGCGAGCATGGGCCGTGCCTATGCACCAACTGCAACGACGACTTGGTATTCGATGTTGAAATAGACAAGTTAAATTAGCGTTCAAATGGTGTCGTACGTGTTAGATGTTTATATACTAGGACCAATCTCAACACAAATGAAACATTAGAGATTGAATTGAATTGGCTAAGATAATTTTACCTTTTGAAGAAAGTGAGCAAGAAGATGATAATGATGATAATGAATGAAAAAGAGAGCTGACTTTAATTGTCTGAGAACAACCCTTTCCATTGATTATTATTCGAGCTCCCTCAGTACAACCCCAATTGAGAAGTACACAAAGGATTATTATGATATTCAACAAAGCCCTCATTATGCTCATTTTTACCTTCTCCCTCACTCACTACAATAAAAATGTCACTCAATTACAAGAAAATTGGTAGGACCTTTTTATAACCAATTTGTTTGCTGAGGAAACCAAGTCTCAAGTGGAGGTCACCTACACATCACATAAGTAGGGACATTAACCCCCATTCCAAGTTCAACGTGCTAAAGGGGTTGGAATATTTCAACTAGATATATTAGCGTCCGAAAGGGCTTGGTTAACCGGAGTGCGTCGAACCGGACCAAAATACCAAACCGAAGATACAACTTGAATTAGTCAACTAAATGTCAAGGCTTGTGGACATCTTCTTCTAATCGTTTACTTGCTTCAAGTTAATAAGCGTAGACTTGGTCTTCTCGTTTACTTGATTCTTGTTAATAATTGGGACTTCAAATTCAAGTCTCCGGTGTATGTTGTTAAACTATCACCCACCCCAATATCACATGTTTTCTCTCTCGACTCCAGCGTACTAGAGGGGTTGTAATATGTGATTTTGTCTCTAGACTCCAAGTTTTGAAACACAATTCTTCACGGTGTAAAACAGAAAGACGAATTCGAAAGCAGCTAGTCCTTGCGTGGGCAGTTTTATATGGGCCTTTACCAACATCACTCTGTATTATTCATCTAGTATTGGAATAAAAATGTACAAATTTAACAGTTGGTTCTTGTAATTGCTGTATCATTCACACAAACGTACTTCAAAGACCAGCACGCTCTTTACCCGAATTACACACTTAATTAAGGATAAAGCTAATTTGTGCCAAATCCATAAATTTTAAATTACCCGTTTTTTTTTTTCATTAACTAACTTAACTACACCCATTTGGAGCAAACCCGACCCGCCCACCCGCACCATCATACACAACTTCTAGCGTTTGCTGCTGAACGTTTCCAAAGATGGCAGCGTTACTGTCATCGCTATTCCCTGCAAACGCCAAACAAACCTGTGATATCTTAAACGCGTAAAATATCCCTTTCGAGCCAAGCTCCACGACAGCGCCACCGCTGAAAGAGAACGCCACTTTCGGGATCGTCACCGTCTTAAATCCGCTGAGATCGAAACACGTGTCCAAGATCGAGACGCCTGACGTGGTCGGATACTTTGACATCTTCGCCTTGAACGAGCTTCGTAACGCCGCGTAGGCTTTTGGCGGGAGACGAGTGATAACGGTTCCTGAATCGATTAAAGCTCCCGGAGTAGAGAAGACGGTTGAAGGAATCGGCAGTTTCTGACCGCCGACGGTGATTGCGACGATATTAAGGCCGTAGAAGGAGGTTCCATCAGTGATGGTTGAAATCGGTGTGAATTTTACTGATCTGGAGATTCCGGCGGATCCGAAGGTGAGATGTCCGGTGTAGCTAGCGGAGGAAGGGAGACAGTAAGAGAAGATCTTATTGTAAGCCGTAGCCGTCTGAGACGGAAATGAAAGCTTGTCACGGCCAAGACCGAGAAGTCCGGCGACACCGGTGAAAAGTCCTTGGTTGTTCTCACCGCAACCGAAATAAACACCGTCGAATACGTCGGAGCTCGTTAGTGTAAATTTATCCTTGGCGAGAAATCCGACGGAGAATGATTGATCGCCGTATTGAATACCGTAGATGCAATTCGAAGCCGAACAACTTCCGGCGTTTCCTGAAAATTAAATTCCGGTTAACAAAACCGGATACGGTTATAATAACCGGAACTACAAGAATTGAAAATTGAACCTGTAGCTGAAGAGAGGGAACCACACGCTGCTGATGAGCAGGAGACGTTGTAGTAAGAAGTAGACTTGGAAGGGTTAAAGATTGGTTCCTTTTGGTCATAGCAAGTTCGAACACATGGCTGACATTGAGTCCACGTTAAATCGCTTCCGGTGTCGAAGATTAGTGATAGATCGTTCTTTGGTGTCCCGAGCCCGACCGTCACGATGTAGTTTCCTGACCCGAGTGTGCTTCCGTCTTTAGCCGGTAGATCCGTTGACTGGCTTTGACTGACGTGATTTGTTGTGAGTTTCTTCGACAGTTTTGAGTGGATTGAGTTTACGCGAGCCTGGTCGAGTCTTAGGATCTCGACATGGTCTGGACTCGTGGCTTTGCCATTGTTTAGACGCGAGCACGTGCCGTGTCTATGCGTCACGTGCAGTGAGGACTTTGTGGTAGACGCTGAATGTCATGAGATAAAATTCACGTTAGAAAAAAACTTTATTATCTGACGAAATGATAAAGAAAATTTTCTTGTAATTTTCAACATAAGTGGAGTGAAACAGAGTTGTACTTATTCACGAAGTAGTCTAAATTGTTGAAATTTTTTTGTTAACTCACTGAACTAGGCAACAAAATATTGATTACAACTACTAATTATTGTCGTTTTCCCCATTTAACAAAATACTGAACATCTTCCAAAAAAAATATATTGAACTTCTTTACTATCGCTTTCTTAGTCCTGTGAATGTAATAATATCAATTACTTGGAAGCAAGAAATTGGCTTTTATAACCTAATTGAGAGTCTTTATTCGTCTACCTTATCTATAAAATCATATCATAAATTGAATTGGCTAAGAAAATCATCACCTCTGGGAGAAAGAACACAAGATGATGATGATGCTGGGAAGAGAGAGCTGACTTGGATTGTATGAGAATCATCAATCTCTCTTTCTTGAGCTCCCTCGTTACAACCCAAATTGAGACATACACAAAGGATTATTATGATATTCAACAAATTCCTATTTATGCTCATTTTGCTCTCTTCTCTTTCTCTCCCTCAAAAAAATGACATTCGGTAACATGAAAATGGTTGGTCTTTTATAACCAATCTTTTTGCTCAAAGAAAGTCGCTAGTGGAGGTTGTTTAACTTTAGAAGCAATCCAGTCATCCACATATCACACAAGTAGGGGCACTCTGTTCCATTGGTTTCATTAACCAGTTAGATAGTGACACATCATCTTGCAATGGAGCATTATTGTTATTTTCTGTTGTCTTTCATACTTCCAATTTCAGCACATTGAACGGGATAATATTCCACCAAATGATTCATTGATCAGTAGTAAACTAATTAGGTAGGTGTCGAATCATGCATGGATATGTGTGTGATGCTCATTCGTTAATTTGCGACACAAAATAAAATGTTAAATTTATTCAAATGTCCAATGACGAATTTATACATGTATATAAACTATTGTTTATTCGTTAGCAAAAGCATTAATGACTCTCATATAATGATATTTTCGCCTAATAATGGAAGAGTCATTTCATAAGACTCATATTACTAAGAGAACCAATAATTGAACAACTGCAAGCAAAAGCAATAATGTTGCTTAAAATTTAAGAGAATCCAAAGTGATCATAGTATTGAAGTAACCACAAAAAGAATGAAAGCAACATTTTTAGTCAATTAATTTACATCCTGTCCCTTGATTCAAGCTTACTTACGCGTATACATTTTAAGTCACATATCATATGTTTGCATCAATTTGGAAAAAAAGTGTTGCTTCACGAAATCACTCTCTTTCAAAAATTAAATGTATGTAGTTTAGTTAGCATATGGTAGATTTAATAATTGTTTACATGAACGTGTTAAACATCAACATGTGATCTCACAAACCATCTTTATTGATAGTATCCTACTGTAAACTATAGTTAAAGAAAGTTCTGAAGTCGAACCAAAGTTACAGCCTTACAGGTAAGAATAATACACTAGAAACAAAGTAAATGGAGTGATTGTAAAGTAATTTGTGACCGAAAACATGCAAGTATGATTGAGATAATAAGTCCACAAGAACCTCAATTAATTGGATGTATGTGGGCCTCAATATATATAGTTTCCGGAAAACAAAATTTTGACAAATACTAATGAGTACAAGTGGGAACAAAAGATAAAGATTCTAATAAAGAATCTTAATGTAGTGGAAGTGGGAGAAAGCTGGAATCTGTACCCTAATTTCTAGAAACTTAGAAAATTCAACAGTCGTCCAAATTCACAATTCACATTGACTTAATTACTACTACTATCTCTCTTAAGAAATATATATTTATTACTGTTTGGTTACTTTACTAACTAAACACTCATTATATGATTATTTCATTTGACTCATCAATAATGCATGTTGTTGGTTCCAAATATGAAACTCTGTATAGTTTAAGGGAGTGGTATTTATTATGAATTTGATTATATTATAACGAATCCGTAGACGGTGGATGAGATATAATTTATTTCTAATAAAAGAAAATGAATTGAGTGATGACCTAACTCTCCATCTATATCAGACATTATATTTCTGATAAATACATATATACTAGACCAGTCTTTTAACACATGCACAATTAGATTAGTGCATTGAAATATGATCTCAATTTATAAATCCCAAAATAAGTTAAAAAAAAAAAATCGTTCCATAAACTTTCATATTTTTTTATTCCATATATTTATATCATATATGAGGTCTGCCAATAAAAACCACCGAGCCAATTAAAAATGCATTAATGTTTTCAAAATCTGTTAAACAACATAGTAAAATGAATTAAACTAAAGCTTGTTCGACGCATGTTTTTTTTTTTTTTTTTTTTTTTTTTGTCAAATGATGCATCGCTTTTCTTACATGCGTTATTGATTATTATCAAGATAGTGCTTATGCAGGGTAAATGTGTTAACGTCAATAAATCAGCATAAAGACAAAGATACTGAAGTGTTTTGAAAAAGATGAGAAGGCAATAACACTCGTTTTTTAAATTATTCAGATACTTTATACTGGTCCCGGGGGTTTTACGTTTGTGTGAAAACAAAGACTTTGTTTCTGAAACCATCGACCATCGTTATATGTCTGTGGCGGCTATCAACGTCTCTCTCTATACACAGTGTCGAGATAGATAAACTTTAATATATATACGATCGAGAATGTTGTGGTAGGATCGAAAAGAAACAAAGAGGACAATTTAACAAAGAATGATGATGGTTTTGTAACTGAATACTATCAATTACTGAATATAAATACGTTTTAAATAGAAATTGAAAAGTTGGTGATTAGCATTGTGGGAACTCGTTAGTTGTCACATCCCACAATGGATTCTGTTTGATCGTCCGAAGAGTTTTCCACTAAAGATAAGATAAGAGATTGAAATGAAATATTATATAGTGGGTAGATGTAATTGGCTTAAACGAAGGGAGTATCTTATGTAAATCAATTCATTTTAGGTTTGTGTATCAACAACACTATTAATAACAATAATAATGGATGGTCTATAGTTAGTCTTGCGTGTGTTATCGTTCACGATCTTTAACTTAATATAATGTTTTAGCAATACTAATAAAAAAGTGATATATCAATAGTGGTACTCAACCAAATCTAGAGATGCAAAGTATCAACACATCCAGATTTGCCACTACAATTATCATGACATGCCTCAAGACTCAAGAATACCAAAATACGTCGTGTTCAAACCTCCGAACTAACAATAGAAAAGTTCTTTTAAAATATGTTTTTTAACGTAATTTCAAAGAAGAATTCGAACATCATTATTTTATTACACTAACATCTAAAAATTCGTAGGACACAGTTTTTTTTTTTTTTTTTTCATATTATTAGTAGTACGTATAGACTCTTTAACCGAACCTGTACCGGTTTGGAACTAATTTCTGTTTAGAACTGTATGGGTTCGTTAAGGCCCATTAAACAGAATCCCAAGTTTGGAGAAAGCCTAATAAATGGATAAAATATCTGGATCCGGGTTAACCCGACTTGAAGAAACGGGTTTGGAGTGTGTGAGATTTCCTCGTCACTTTGAAAAAAAAAAAACAATTAGAAATCGGAAACATCTAAAGCGTAGATAAATCCGATCTAGGTCTCTTCTTCCCCAATCCTCTCTGTGTCTCCTCGATCGAAGAATTTAGGCAATGGACAAAGGCAAAGCAGTGATGGGTACTGGTCGGAGATGGGCCGTCGAATTCTCCGACCAATCTACTGTTCCATCTTCCCGTGACATCCTCGATCCACCTGGCTTCTCTCGTGCTTCTCAGGAACAGGTTCTCTTTTTTTTGGCCATGTCTGTATTGAGTTTCTTAGAGTTTCCTATTTTTCTCGGTTGGATTTGGAAATTTTACTGGGAATTGAGTTGATTTGCTACTGGGATTTGTTTTTTTAAAAATGGAATTCGATTTCAGGATGATTCAGCAAACAGCCGCCAAAAGAAAGACGCTGAAGCTACTTGGAAACTTCAGGTATAGATTTATGTCAAATCTGAAAGTCGTATCTTTATTTGTACGGATTCGATCTTGGTCTTGCTCTATCTAGATCTTAAAAGCCATTGACTTCCATGTATTGGATTGTCATAGTCCATATCTTTCACTGTCCAAATCTGATTGGAATTTATAAAACTGATATGTGTTTTTTTTTTTGGGTGAATGAGCAGAAAGCATGGGAAGTAGCGCAATCTCCATTTAAGAATTTGATGATGATGGGTTTCATGATGTGGATGGCTGGAAACACTGTGCATCTTTTTAGTATTGGTATTACATTCTCGGCTCTTTGGCAGCCTATCAGTGCTCTCCAGAGTGTTGGAAAGAGTAAGATTCCTCAACTACACCTTATTCTTCTTCATAAAGTCACATTTAACTAGCTTGTCAGCTGCCCAAAATTATATGTAGTCTTATCAAACTGTGAATGAGTATCTTGATTGGAAAATGAAATGTTATTTGAACTTGCAAGTAGTCAGTCTATCATTTATGTGGAATAGCATGTGAAAGATAGAAAGGACCTCTAAGAGAGGGAAGAACCGCTTCTCCAGTATTTTTCATCCTTACATTTGACCTTTACCCTTGTCTGCAGTTTTTGAGCCATTCAAGGATAACAAAGTGGAACTACTTATGCCGAAATTAGTGTTTCTAGCCCTAAACCTTGGAGGGTTAGCTTTGGGTGTCTGGAAGGTAAGAAACTTTTTTTGTTTCCTCATTGTTTCCTCTTTCCTTTTTCCTTATGGCAACACTGCCTTGGATTAGAACTGTAAAGTACTCTTTCCTTATACAAACAATTTCCACTTTCTCAGCTTAACACTTTGGGGCTTCTTCCAACACATGCATCAGACTGGGTTTCATCTCTACCCCCTCCTCAGGTTGGTAATTTCTGTCTGAAGCTAAATTTGTGTCTGTCTATGTGTTTTCGCATCATCCGTGTAAGCAAGAATCTGGCATTTTGACTCATCATCTCTAAGCTGCACATCTTGTTACCTCCTCTTTCGTTTTCAGGAAGTTGAACACTCGGGTGGAGGATTTGTTTTCCACTGATGAATCTGCGTCCCTTGTATTCTAAATAATCCGTTAAAACCGCAAGACAACGACGACACTTTTGTGAGATAACTGCAACAGATACTTAAGTGATTTGTTCAACCCTGTCACGAGGGAAGGTTCATATACGAGGCCTTCTCATCTTATGATCTTCGAGTAGCATTTTCCAAACTCAGAAACCATGTAGTTATTTTTTTTTGCACTTTTTAGTGTGATGCTCATTATTCATCATAACTATGAATGTATTATTGGCACTGAAGGGACCTATCTCCTCCCAGCTTTTTGTTTCTCATCTTTTTAGACAGGAATGGATAATGTTTCAGACCAAAGTTTGGCTCTTTATTGCTTCCACTCATGATTCTGAGTAACAAATCAATCAATGCTTGATTTTAATTTTGTAATGACTGAGACCTTCTAGTTGATTCAGAAGATTTCAACAGAGTGGACTAGTAGGCGCAATGAGAAACTAGGTCAAGTTTGGGAAGCACAAGACGTAGTGCAGTCTTTTAAGTCGGTCTACTCAAAAAATCTCTCGACGACAAAAATGTTTACTTTAATGATTATAAGATTGCGAGAAATAAATGATTTACAGGAAGAAAAAAAAAAAAAAAAACCCAAAAAGAAAGAAAAAGAGAAAGAGTAGATATTTTTTCCATTAATCTTGTAATATTTCCTTGCGATCTTCTAGTAAAAATTGATAAAACGAACAGAGATGACTCTAAACACGCTAACCTGATCCGAAATTTTCTTTCTTTTTTGTTTTTCATCACAAAAAAAGTTTGATTCTTTGATGATCTTAAAAACTCTTACTTGGTCACTATCTTCCTGAGATTTTTTTATTCTTTTTTCCAAGCGAATCTGAGTTTTGTTTTCATGTCCGCGAGGATTTCATTTCTGAAAAATCTCGATCCGTGCAATCACTTATCTGATTATAAGCTTAGATATGGTACTGATGGTTACAAATCTTTCAATAACTTGTTCAGATGCTTCAACGATGGAAGAATTAAGATCAAACTTCAAGGATTCGACATACCCAGATGCAGTTATTGTTCTGTTTATCAAAAGAGACTCTACATCTGTTTGATCTGTCGTTCCATTTCTTGTTCAAGTCATATCCTTTTGCATACCCAATTGAATAAAGGCCATGATATCGCCATTGATGTCGAAAGATCTGAGCTTTATTGTTGTGCTTGCATCGATCAAGTGTATGATTCTGAGTTCGACGAGGTTGTTGTGTCTAAGCAGCTTATTGGTTTGGGTATGTCTGTTAAATCCGGGGCTGATGTTGTTGCGGTTAGATCGAACAAGAAGAGGAGATTGGATTCGCAATTGATTATAGGGTCCAAGTTTTTGGTCTCACCTCGAGATCGGAGAGAGAAATGGACGTTTCCTTTGGGGTTGAGAGGTTTGAATAATCTGGGAAGCACTTGTTTTATGAATGCTGTGTTGCAAGCACTTGTTCATGCTCCTCCTTTGAGAAACTTTTGGTTGAGTGGTCAGCATAATCGTGATCTTTGTCCCAGAAGGACAATGGGTTTGTTGTGTTTGCCTTGTGATCTTGATGTTATCTTCTCTGCTATGTTCTCTGGTGATCGGACTCCTTATAGCCCAGCTCATTTGCTTTACAGGTTTGATTTCTGACTTCTTCATTTGTTTATACAAAGCTTTATTTGTGTTAATGTCACATTGTTACATATGTTTGTCTGATGAGGTTGTTAACATGATTGAATGTCTTCGTAGACATTATGTGATGCTGATTTTGATATCTTTTCGGCTTTTATTTTGGTGCATGAAGTTGGTGGCAGCACTCAACGAATCTAGCTACATATGAGCAGCAAGATTCTCACGAGTTCTTCATTTCGCTATTGGACCGCATCCATGAGAATGAAGGAAAGTCGAAATGTCTGTATCAAGGTAAATCTAATTTCGATTTGTGTTGAGTGATGAAACTTTCAAGATAGGATTTGATTTGATGTTTGTTCCCTTTTGATACCGAGAAGTTTGTTGGTTTACTGTGCAGATCATGAGGAGTGTCAATGTATTACTCACAAGGCATTCTCTGGTCTTTTAAGATCAGATGTCACCTGCACAACATGCGGATCCACATCAACAACATATGACCCGTTTATCGACATTTCACTTACTTTAGATTCAGTGAATGGATTCTCTCCCGCTGATTGCAGAAAGAACAGATACAGTGGTGGACCAAGTGTGAACGCAACCATGCCAACTCTCTCGGGTTGCTTAGATTTCTTCACACGGTCAGAGAAACTCGGTCCGGACCAGAAACTAAACTGCCAAAGCTGTGGAGAAAAGAGAGAATCTTCGAAACAAATGTCAATAAGAAGACTTCCTCTGCTTCTTTGCTTGCACGTAAAGCGTTTCGAACATTCTCTTACCCGTAAAACCTCGAGAAAAATTGATAGCTACTTGCAGTATCCGTTCCGCCTAAACATGTCTCCTTACCTCTCTTCCTCCATCATCGGAAAGCGGTTTGGGAACAGAATATTTGCATTTGATGGAGAAGGCGAGTATGACAGTTCATCATCATCATCCCCATCAGCGGAATTTGAGATATTTGCGGTTGTAACTCACTCGGGGATGTTGGAATCAGGTCACTATGTGACGTATCTGAGGCTCAAAGGGTTGTGGTATAGATGTGATGATGCATGGATCAATGAGGTTGAAGAAGAAGTGGTGAGAGGATGTGAATGTTATATGTTGTTCTATGCACAAGAAAGAGTGATTCAAAAAGCTCATAAGGAGTTGAGTTATCAAGTTATCTCCATGGCTGATGCATTTCCCTTTGCTGATTGCTGACTCTTATTAACTTGGCCAAAGATTTTGACGCATTTTCCCTTAATACTTTTTTTTATTCATTTAAGGTTTATGCCAAATATTTGAAAGCCAAGTTTAATGATTAAATTTCTTTTTCACTACATCAGTGTTCAAGGTTACTTCATCAGACTCTTAGGCGGACAAAGATTTTTATGCTTAAAGCAAGTAATTAAAGAAACAGAATCAATCGTCTTCTTATGCTTAAAGCAAGTGGTTCTCACATGGAACTTCTGCAGAAAACTATGAAAAAGGGAGTAATACACACAAAATACAGTTGTGTTTCTTAGAAATTTTTTTCAGAGTCAACGAGGCAAAAGAGGTTAATAATCTTCATAGAAAACATTCCACGTGTCCTGCAGAGACCAAAACAAACAATCATCTCATCTCATGCCTCGTCTACGCCAATCTCTGTCTCGCTCTCTGCTTATATCATGATCGTCTCTCTCATGACTTGAGCTCTTTGCTCTTCGTTCTCGGTCCTTGTCCAAATCATGTTGTTGCCTATCTCTGTCTCTGTGTCTGTCTTTGTCCAAGTCATGATCTCTCACCCTTTCTCTGGTTAATAGTTTTTGTGGTGGACTCTGGCTTCGATTCTGGCTCTCACTTCGGTATCTCTTTCTAGATGAATCTCTAGAATCTTCACGCTTCTCCCTTTTCTCTGGCAATACTCTCTCTGCAGTTGAAAAAAGCAATGTTCAAACTAAAGAATTTGCAGCACGAGTGTTAAACTACCGGTCAAGCTTTCGTTATGGATGCTCCAATGTTTACATCCAGAAGATAGTAACTTTAGGGTGCGTTCGTAAGAACTTACGATTTCCTTTTAAGGCATCAGCTTCAAGCCTCTTTCGGTGGATCGCAACTTTTCTTTCTATCTCCTCAGAGTATTTCACCCCCTGTTCCTCAAGAGATTCTCGATACTCTATCAAAGCAACCTCTATGCGTTTAAGCTTTTGTCTGCAGCAATAAAAAAAAAAAGTAAAAGTAAGGCAACATCTCAGAATGGAGTAGCTACTGATACCTACATTTTTTGATCAATTGGTAAGCATTTGTTTTTTCTAGATGAAATTTTTTCCAAAAGCCAGAAATCCACCTCCAGGGACTAGAACCAAATACCCTGCCATGGTTTTTATTGGTTCTGAAGCTCTAGCATCAACATGAAGGAATTAATATAGCTAATATTTTGGTGTATTTTTACTCCATAGTTTTCCCATTTACCCAATTATAGTGCTGAAGAACAGAGCTTCTCATGCAGATCATACCTTTGCTCCTCTTCGATTTCATTTTCAGGCTGGACACGAATACTTGGATCAGCCTTGAGATCCTCTTCATCAGTCTTGAAAGTTAATACGCCAGCATTGTCACTACCAGAGGAGTAGCTCTTTTTTTGTTCATCATCCTCTCTCGCCCATCTGGAAGTGGGCAATATGAGGTCATTTTTCTCCTTTTTCACAAAGGCTTTTAGCTCCGGCTGGGGGATTGGAATTCTCGAGGCCAGATTCACAGGCTCTTTAGTTTCAACTTTATAATAGCTGGTTTTCATCTGCTTAGGCTCAATGTTAACTTCTTCCCAAGTTGAATGTCCCTGTCGATACTTTGCATTTTCATCTACTACTTCATAGCCACGTTGTTTCTCTGCAACTTCCAGGCTTAGCAGCCGAGCAACCATCATCTCTATACCCCCTACAAGTGACAGACCGTTGTGTCTGCATCGTCTCTCAAGCTCAGAAATTGGTAGATTCATCAGCTCTTGCCTTGCATCTCCTTGGCCCATTGCCAGTGCAGTGTCTTGATTAAACTTATCAGCATTGTTCATATTTCCTATGAGACCTTTCTTCTCTATATCAGGCGCATCACCACAGATAGAATGAAACGAGGTAACACCAGAATTTCCCGACCTGAGAAACGTAGCCCGTAGCCCATTTATATATGCATCTGAAAAAAGAAACCAATCTGCCCATACCTGCAGTACTTTGAGTACTCGTTCCTGCACAAAGTAATAATGAGATTGCAACAGAACTTGAGAAAGTAAAGAATAACATAAGAAGAACATTTGCTTTCTGGGATTACTTTAAGAGCCTCCGCGGTAATCCTGCCAGTTACGCTGCGGTATAGATCGTTGAAGCTTTCCATTATATCGGGTAATGTTGCTTCGAATTTTGTCCGGTATGCAGAGGCATTTTTAACCCGAGCGCTGCTATTATGAAGAATGTCAGACACAAGCATGAGTCTTGCAACTTTAGTGGGAATCGATGTCTCTTTCAGGGTCAATGACTCTGTCAGAACTTCAACAACCTGTGAAACAAGCAAATATTTAAGTAAAAAGAAATCATGACACAATGAGTTATTTTGCTTGGAGACTCTATGTGGTGTATATAATCCATTACATATACCGCATGCAAGTGAGACAATTGATGGATGATTATTTGATAAGAAAGGGAATTCAAAACACATGTTGAGCCTTTGAAAGATTTAACAGAGGGTGTAAACCAGAACAAATTTCACCTCTCCAGCTGCATCTGCGTTATCCAAAGCAAACCCCATAGCTTCTTTGATTTGACTCCTTTCTAAAGTTAGAGCGCGCAACATGTTCTCAAATTCATCCCTTTGGGAATCGGTTAGAGTTTGCTCAGCTTCCATGCTCTGCTATTTATCAGTGATGAGGTATCAATAAACAAACTTGTCGAAAAACATGCAAAAAAGACGAAATAAGATATGATATGTGAGATTGTGCAAGGAGATTACCCTGCTTTTCCCTGCTGCGTATGTGCATGTAGACTCTTTTCCATGCTCTGGACTTCTAGTTGCAGGCAGCGGTGGCGGAATCCATCTATAATAAAAGAAAACCAACAGTGCTAAGGTAAACAAAATCCAGCACCTGACTCAGTTTCAAATCTGGCTAGATTAAATACCTTCCACTTCCAGCTATCATGATGTACGGCTCTGTTCTCCACCTTTGAAGGGTATCACCCTAAATGACGGCGAGAAAAATCATCAGGATATGACAAAAATGACGAGAACCTCATATATTCCTAATAATGAAACAATTAAAATGTACCTGAGCAAAGGAATAGAGCCTCCAGACATAGTACGTATGCTCCTTCGAGCCCAGCTCAAACAAGAAGTTAAAAAGTGGATTACCACGCCCCCTCTCCATAATCGCTTGCTCAAAAGCGCAGCCACCATCCAGTACATTAAGGGCCATTGTATCAATAATATGTTTGAGGTGCTCGTCCTCAGGAGAAACAACAGTGATATCCGGAACATTTGGGGTAAGAACCTGAAGATGAAATTCAAGTTAACAAAGAAATGTTTGTGCTAAAGATCCAGAGGTTAACATATATGAAGGATAACATTTAAGCAGTATCCAGTAACTCAAGCACTTATCAAATATCATATGGAACTTTTAAATAAAAATTCCAAGTCATATGGACCAAGTTTGCATACCAGCTCGGAATTTTGATTTGGAACGGAAGTTATTGGTGGACCCGATGTACCAGAAAAAATTAAATTGCAGCCCTGCCAATTAAAACATATGAAAAGTTTTAGAGTTACAAATAAACAAAAGCAGCCGTCATGAACAAAATGAAACGACGCAACAGTCACATTCAGGGATAAAGATTTAATTCGCTAATAACACAATTAAAAGTCAAAATGAATCTCAAAGGAGCAAATAACTGCCACAGACCTCCTTACTCCGGATTGCCATATGCCCAGGAGGAGGAGCTGGTAGTGCTTGTAATAACATCCAATTTTCAGCTCATACTCCTACACAATGATCCCTGTGAGGTAGGGAGAAAAAGATTTGTAAGTGTCTTGCATACCATCACAGCACATGCATCAAGGAAGCACATTTATTATCAAATCAGAGAGTCAAAGATTAATAAATTTATATATTGTTAGGAGGTCAGTAGTTTTCAACATTGTAGTAATGAAGAAAGAAAAAAATGGAAGTACCATACAAAAGCAGTAACACTGACCAAACAACGAACTCTGTACGTATGTCTTCAACTGAATACGTTAATGCAATTTCTTATAAGAAAAATCAAGCTTTGCACTAAAGAAACTACTAAAATACGCTGATTTGAAGTTTTGGTTAAAATGCTATTGCTAGGCAGGAAGCTGAAAAAAAAAAATCTAGAACAAATCTTCATCTTTTGCTCTTTTATCATATTATACACTGCGAACGTATTTCAGCTAAGAACCTCGCATGAACATACACAGTTTCATACAGAACGGTATAGCTAACCTTGCATTTCATCTTTTGCAGCTTGCCCGTCGACTCTATTCATGAAAGCAACAAAGCCCCAATGTCTTTCTCGCCTTTTCTCTTCCTCCGTTATTGGCCACATAATTTTAACACTAGCTATTCGCCCAAATCTTCCAAAAGTCCGCAGAATAAAATTTTCATCAACCTATAAAAAAAAAAGGCACAAAGTTTTAGTCAGGGAAGAAAATTATGATATATTAGCTATGGAAAACAACGCAGGTATTTAAGTTGGATGAGAACAAACCTTAGCTGAAAGATTCCCAACATATAGATTTGTAGTTTGTGGGTCACCATCTTCCAATGACCCTAACCTTCCACTGGGATCAAAATCATCAGGTAGCTCATCAAAGCGGCTAGATGACTGAGAGAAGTATAACTTTAGTACAGAAAGCAGTACATATTTCTCAATAAACAACCTTATGAACTTGGTTAAGAGCAAAGACTATTATGAGCATACCGTGTTATCACTATTATGGTCACGGGAATTCTCGTGATCCTTGTTTCGCCTTTCTCTCATTTCTTGTTCACGTTTCAAATCCTCCATAAAATGATCTATGTTTCGAGTCTTTACCTTTTCTCTCTCCTTTGATCTCTCTTCTTCCCTCCAGAAAGAAGAAAAATTGTACTTATCAATTAAACTATTACTCTAAATCAGGAACCAGAATAATATAAAATACTGATATGGTCACTAACGACTGACCTTATTCTCTGGTTCTTTACCCTTAGATGCCAATGGTGGGGGGAGAAAGGAGGGAACATACCTGCAGAAATTACATGGAAGATAATCTTCTATATCACAAGAGAACGGACATTGATTTCAACTTTTCAAGCCATATGCATGGACACCATTCTCAAAACCCACAATTTCTACCGACAAAGTAGGAGACTTCAGCTTGTTGCTATGTGCAGATGACAGAAGTTTATTGTACTCCAAACATGACAAACACAAGAGAAACGGAATTCTACTCTAGCATTGTAACAAACACATGAAAACTGTATTAACAACCGTAAAACTCTTTGCTTATGAAGGCCTACACTAGAAATTAAATTATATATGACGAGATTGATTAATCAAAAGCAATCACAGTTATACCTACTCCCCTACTTTGAAATGGAAGCCCCATCTCTGGACTTTTCACCTGCAAACCGTGAATGCATAGAAAAAAACGTCCATACTTTTTAATAAACATGTTTCTCAATGTAAATCTACCAATCTACATGATCAAAACAATTCAATGAAACACAAAACTAGAAGCCTTGAGTTCTACTTGATGAAGCCTTGAGTTCTACTTGATGAAGCCATGAGCGTTTACAAGAGACTAACCTTAGGAATCAGGCTTGAGCTTATTATCACTGGGATTGATTGTCCCACCTCGAACAAAAGTCTTAGCTGCATTATCTCCTTGAAACGACTCAGCGAATTCTTGATACAGACGAGCTGTCTATCCTCCGCTCTCTGCATTTACCATGAAAAATTCCTCATTCTCAACGTAAACCCATAAATATCCAAACCAATAGGCAATAGAAGCTATTGAGGAATTTAGTAGCTAAGAAAAGAAGAAACAAACCTTCTTCTTCTCTGTGTGCGTTTTCTTCCGGGTGATCGAGAAAGAACTCATCTTTCTGCATCCACCAACTTACCTCGATTCGAAAACTTTGCCAATCGACAATAGCACGCCACCAAAAATGGTGTCAACACAGATTGAGAAAAAAACAAGTAAAATCAGTAGACCTCTTAACCCAGTTTTCTTGCTTCTTTTCTGTTCACTCAAAAATTGACAAATCTAATAATCTTCTTTTCAACAGATTACGAATTTAACAATAACAAACTATACCAGAATACTTGTTATAAGAAGCATAATTTCCAATGGAGGAAGATTTAAGCACATCTCATCAATTTGAGAAGAAAAATGGAGGTGCAGGTTTGGATATAAAAATTAGAAATGTAACAATTATTATTATGGATAACAACAATATTTTTCATGTTTAACAAATCCAAGAGAACCACAACACCATACTCTTTATATGCATAATAATTATTGTTACATTGGCAGATATATAATCACGAGTGATGATGCTTTTGAATGGCCTCTCTTAATAAGCTTTTTATCTTTCTTCAGGTAGACAGACACTTTCAAATGATGTTTCTTCTTCATCTGCTTCCATTGGCAATTCTCTTGAGATGGTTAAATGCTTTCTGCTTAATCCATTGCCTGTCATATGGCAGATATGCGCTGATCGAGTGTTCATAGCTGCAAAATGAAAAGGGTCACACAAAAATGACCAGAGGATTTTGTTAGAATATCTCAAGAACATTGACAAAACCCTTATGATTCACACGCACTCACCAGTTTTTACGCAAACCATGAAACTAAGAATGATTCTTTACTTGTTTAGCACCAAGGTAACAAGCTTAGTAGCAACTAAAGGGTCAAGTATTAACAGTTTTGTTATACATCATGGGAATCCTACTGATCTCTATACACATTACTTGCAGGAGATTACTATTGAGAACATTGCAAGTGAAGAACTAATTTAGAACAATATATATATATATATATGCAGTTTAAATTATTCAGCAACACATTACTTGCAAGAGATTTCTATAATATCTATTGTGAACTTGCAAGTCAAAAACTAATCAAGAACAAGAAATATGCAGTTTATCGAATATCATGAGAGAATTTCTCAAGAAAGTTTCTTTGAAAAGGAACAACTGTGCATGTGCCTGTTGCATCTTGAGTTTAAACATTCCTAAATGTTTTGAACGACTACCAAAACATCCAGGAATTCAAAAGAATGGTATGAGTGGGAACAGAATAAAAGGTAGGAAGAAACACAACTCATGCTCTTTATAGATGGTGTAATGTGGTTCCTCCTTTTAGTTTATGTAAGAATGTGAAAAGGTGATGTGAATTTGACAGTGCCCTGGAAGGAACTAAAGCATTTAAGAGAAGAGAAAGGGGCAATACTTACACCAAAGCGCTCAAGTCAGCAAGACCATCAATAAAATTGTAAAGGTCAGCAATGTCATAGCTAAGATTTCTGAGAGAAGGGTTAATTTCCTTCAACTTCCTTTCGTATAAGCCGCAAATACCTGTTTAGAAGCAGACAGTTCAGCAGAAGAGGAAAAAAGATCAGGGTTGCAAGCTAAAAACTTTTGCTTCTAAAACCAAAAAAGCTTCCTTAATTCAATTTACACTCAGAAGAGAGGTAATGAACTTAAGAAACCTATCTTTCACATTGCTACTTCCTCAAAGTTATTGAGTAAACAAGTTAGTAACCAAAACAGGGGCCGGGGAACTAATAATACAATATGCTAACACCATTATATTACCGAGCAGACTCATCACTCATATTATATCCATCAGCTTATAACACTGGTTCTAAAATCTGACCCTCCTAGCAAGTCGTAATTTAAAACCATCCATCTCGTTACCACAAAGATAAACCTCAACATAATCACAAACAAAGTCAACAATGAGTAACTATAGCTATACACAAGTTACAGAGTAGTGATTCAAAATTAATAATTACCATCCATAGCTTGGCCTATAGAATCATAGTCCATGAAAGTCCTGGTAGCTCTGCTGGGTGAATTTTGCAACAAGATGATGGTGTGCCTACTACTGTTGTGATTAGCCTACACAACAAAGAAGAAAACTTAGCATAATCAGCTTTTAAGCACTGAAAAAATCAAAACAAGTTTCCTTAAACTAACGAGAAATCATCAGACACTGAGATTCAAACGGCGTAAGGAAAGATATTCGAAAACCTAACACGATCTAACCAAAAAGGCTTTGCTCAGATTTCTACGCGATTGACTAAGGAATCACTAAAAATACATAAAAGAGACGTCAGAGAAGAAATCGATTACCATCTTCAAGTGATAGTTTGACTTCGATAGCAGAGTAGAGGGTTGGTTAGACGACGAAGACGAAGACGACGAGACGGAACAAGTTTCACTGTTTCAGAGAGGAAAGCATATACAAAATAATATTAAAAAAAAAAAAAAAATAACCCAACAAGAATCTCTAGGGGCAAAATCGTAAATTTACAGAGGGACACTGTCGCTTAACATGTGACATATGTAGTAAAATATGAAAAAACTACAAGCTGTTTCCATCTGATTAGCAGATTTAAAACGACAAGTTTTCTCTTCTAAAAGTTTCAGTTCACTGTTAAGAATACTACACAGTATACAAAATTGACGTCTGCTAACTTTTTTCTCCTTTACAGAAGCAAAAGTTTAATGTCGTCATCATCATCTTCTGATTGTTTCTTTGGCAACACATCAGAGGGTACAAGATCATCCAAATGATCTGAATCTGGAACGAGGAAAACGAAACACACAGTGACGAGTCTCAAGAGATTCCTTATAAGAATCACAAGCCAGAGATTCCCAAAATCGTGTCTCGTGACACCAAAAGCGTGAAGAGCAAACCCTCCACCCCATTTAGAAGCAAGCTGTCCAAAACTATCAATGCACATGAGGAAAGCAAAGAAGGTGCCTTCGATTCCCAGAGGACAGAGCCTTGTGCTGAGAACCACCATGGGGATCCACCTGATCTTACTTATTATCTTCGTGACTGATTCTTCGGTTATCACAAACAAGGAATCTGGTATCCCGAGAGTTAAGTTCCAGCGTTTGATGAAGACTAGATCAAGCATTCCTGAGAAGACGTATAGAAGCTGTGCAAAGAAGAGTATGTTCCTAAAGGAATAGCCTTTGAGCTTCTTGTGGTATATGAGAACTCCAAACATAGATGCCAATGCCCCGATCGCATAGATTATGCCCACAAACTCCTGCATTTAGACCAAAATAAGCAAGTTTGAATCTAGCTCATTATTACATAATTAGATGAAGAATCTAATTAGCTGGTTCATAAACTCCATAGCTTTTATATGTCAATGTGACACTAACACACCATCATAATTTCAACACCATTTCATGAGGCATACAGATCTCCACAAATCCAGAGACAAGATTTTTCTAGGAAAAATAGGCTTTCAAGAGAAGTGACTCCATGGATTTAAATATAAGCCAACACAACAGTCTCAAATATGATTCATATAATATCATGACATACTACCACAGTGTCAGTCTTGAGGTTGCGATCCATGGTAACCTGTTTTTGCTAGCTTCCCATGGAGTTTAGTAATTATACTGGTTTCTATGAACTCAATCTCTATAAGGCCCAAACTAATTATCTTTATTCTCTAAATCAAGATCTTTAAAAGAGAGATTCTTCAGGTTTGTCAAATCAATTTTTAGCATTGGCCAAATGTGGGATTGTAAAACCAACCTGGGAAAAGGCGGGCCCAGCTGTAGGATCAGTGTACCAGTAGAAGTGGCCTTCATGAGTGCTGATGTTGAGAGCTAAGGATATGAACATGTAAAGTGATGGCTTCCACACTTCAGGGTACTTTATTGTTTTGCACATTCCCTTCACCGCTACTCCTAAGCCATCTGTGTCCTGAAGAAAAGACAAACAATTGCTCAGAATTCCATCAAGATTCCAAGTCATGAGATAAAAAGCATGATTTTTCAAATTACTCCGGCAGAAACAAATAAAGACGAGGCAAATTTCTGTTTGGATTATTCTGCTGCGACGCCAATTCTTGTCACTTGTGAGAGAGATCAAAGGAGTTGAGATTACAGGCTGAGGCCTCACCTTTTTGTTTTTCTGTATAGGAACAGTAGAAGATCTTTTCTCGTAGATGAAAAACCCAAGAATGACGATAGTAGCAGGCGAAAATGCTAACACCCCTAATGCTCCCTATATCACAAAGAACAAAACAGAAAAGCGAGAATTCAAGTTTATAATCTCGATATCTAAAGGGAACACGTCCTGTAAACGTGATTAAAAAAGGTGTAAAGCCTCAACCTGAGGTCCAAGCCGGTGAACAAAGACTCCACTAGTTGCGTATCCAACCAAAGCGCCAGCAGATGAACAAACCATACAAAGGCTCTGTATATCAGGGGCCAAAGATCGGATATTGATGCTATTTGTTGCTATACACGCATCAATCACCACATCTGCAATAGCCATAGCTGCAGAGACACCTAAGAGGCAGCTCAAAGCCAAAGCAGCGGGCAACTTACCAAGAACAGCAATAGCAATCGCAGATACCAAACCAAGAACACCAGAAACTACAAAATAAGGCTTTCTTTTGTAACCTTTGATGGGGAAAACATCGGTGAAGAGACCCCAAATAGGTCTCATGACCCATGGAATGTAATATAACCCCATGTAAAGCTGCACAACCGATGGCTGCACTTGCTGGACATCTTTCCAGTAATAGTCTGTGACGACTTTGAATATTGAACCAGAGAACCCTTGGTTTACGCCGTACACAAGGACCACACCTAGCACAAAGCTTAGGTTTAGCCTAGAACTCAGCATTTGCAACCATTGGAAGGGCTGAAGTAGAACTGAGACAACAGCGTTTCTTCTTGCATATGTCTTGATCTCAGAATGATCTGAAATTGGTTTTAGCAGAGGTTTATCGTCTGAGAAGAATTTCTCAGTTTCTAGTGTTTCCATGGTCTTCACTGTTTAGAAGATGAACATTGGATCTGAAAATATCAAGAGCAAGAGCCTTTAATCGTTATTTTCAATGTAAAAGAAACTCCTTTTAGACTTTCAAAAAAGCTTTATACATACATTCACACACGAGGAAAAACAATAGATATATTATAAAGTTTCCCACTTGACATTTACCTTGTTGACTCTGTAAGCAATGACGTCCTACTTCAACTACCAGTCTGAAATACAAAAACCAAACCAAATCGCCTTATTAGCCAAAAATCACAAAGTTGATAGTATGATTGACAAATCTTGAAAGCAAAAAAAGAAACTAAAATGTTTCATCTTTCCAGCGAAACTCAAAAATCCTAATCAATTACTAAACAATTAATAAACACCTAATTGTGTCAACTTCTTTGGAGGTCATTATTATCTTTGAGATTCCCACACGCCAAAGAGACTACTATATATGACCAGTGAGCCATGGCTAGAAACTAATCAGAAAAAGGAGAGGAAGAAAAAAGAAAAAGCAAAACACAGAGAAAATGGCAGGACTGTTTGATAAACAAGCCGATCTATACCTTGACGCCAGGCCTAATTACCCCTCAGAGTGGTTCTCGAAGCTCGCTGATCTCACCGATCACCACGGTTTAGCCTGGGATGCTGCCACCGGCAACGGCCAAGCAGCTCTCGCCGTCAGTAATCTGAAGCTCATTAACTTTGTTTACAACATTAAATCTCAGATTTTGACAGATTTAGCTTCTTTCTTGTAACAACATGCATCAGATCTTGGATTTGAGAAATTTCGCCTTGCAGGTCGCAGAGCACTACGAGAGAGTGATAGCAACGGACGTGAGCGAATCGCAGCTGAAGCTAGCAACGCCACATCCGAGGATCAGTTATCGCCACACGCCGTCCTCAATGACCGACGACGAGCTAGTGGAATTAATCGGAGGTGAGAACTCAGTGGATCTAATCACAGTCGCTCAAGGTGTACACTGGTTCGATCTCCCTAGGTTCTACGCAGTGGCCACACGCCTCCTCCGTAAACCTGGCGGAATCATCGCCGTCTGGGGATACAACGACGTCATAGTGAGTCCAGAGTTCGACGCCGTCCAGTATCGGTTCCACGCCACAACGTTGCCGTTTTGGAAGTATCCGTACATTCAGCACATCTTCGATTCGTACGAAGCATTGCCGTTTCCTTTTGAAAGTGTTGGGATGGGATCAGAAGGGAAGCCATTGAAGCTAGAGATGCCTAAAACGACGTCGTTTGAAGGGATCATAAGGATGTTCAAATCATGGTCGGCTATCGTCACGGCGAGAGAGAAAGGCGTCGAGCTGTTACCGGAGAGTTTGGTGAGAGAGCTTGAGACCGCTTGGGGAGGATCTGATCTGGTTCGTTCCGTCGTTTACAAAGCTTTTATGATCGCAGGAAAGGTTAGAGTTTGATCATCAAACCAATAACTGTTGTTCTCATTGGAGTTCATTATCATTATTTGAAAAAATTCTCAAAAAGTGTTGTTATTTGACATATCAAACAAAATACACTCTATTAAAACGTTTACATATATATATATTAAAAATCCCTTTGTTCTGCAACAAAATGAACCTAAAATGCAACAAAACCGATTTTAAAAGAAAAAGAAGATAAAAACTATAATCACCTTTCCTTCTTTGTTTCCTTAATTGCCATGATGATCATCATTATCCTCTAATCGATCTTAACAGAGGAATAGATGAGCCTTGTGAACCAGAGACAAGCATAGAACCCTATTGTTCCTGTGAGCACAAAGAATGCGTACGACGCGATGAGCATGTACCCAAAGTAAAGCATCGCCGAGACCAGTTTGGTGATCTGAAGCTTTGTGAAGAAGTAGAACGTCGCATAGAGGAAGAGGTAGAGAGCTGATGAGCCAGATGTGAGGTAAGATCTCCACCACCAAAGGTAGTCCTCACTGCAAAGCTGGAAGTAGCAGAGTACTACGGTTATCTCGGCGCAAGTCACGATGAGGATTACAAAGACGAGGAAGAGGAACCCGAAGATGTAGTAGAACTGGTTGAGCCAGATGGATGTGAGGATGAAGAAGAGCTCGATGAAGACTGCACCAAACGGTAAGATTCCTCCAATGAGGATTGAGAAAACTGGGTTCATGTACCAAGCTTGCTCTGGAATTTGCCTCGGGATTTTGTTGGTTTTCACTGGGTCATCAACCGCTGGCTTCTTGAACCCGATGTAACCCCCAACAAAGACGAGAGGAACTGAGATGCCAAACCAGAGGAAGATCAAGGCGAACATTGTCCCAAAGGGAACAGCCCCGGATGACTTCTGTCCCCAGATGAGAGCGTTTAGGACAAAGAAGATTGCTGAAACAACTGCAGGAAACAAGAAGGCTGTTCTGAAAGCGATTCTCTTCCACTCTGTTCCTTTGAACATTTTGTAGAGACGTGAAGAGGCATAACCAGCAAAGAGTCCCATGAAGACCCAGAGCAAGAGCATTGCAGTCATCAGACCACCCCGATTGGAAGGGGAGAGAAATCCGAGCATGGCGAAGATCATTGTGACAAATACCATGCCTAGACACTGGACTCCTGTTCCAACGTAGACGCAGAGCAGATCAGAATTGGTAGGAAGCCTGAAAACATCACCATGGACAAGCTTCCATCCTGTCTCTTCTTGAGCTTCTTCTTGAGTCTCGAGCTCGTTGTATCTTGAAATGTCGCGGTAAAGGGTCCTCAGCATTATCATTGCCACCATACCAGACAGGAATAGGACGATCATCAGAGAATTGACAATAGAGAACCAGTGAATTTGGTTATCACTCATAAGAAGATAAGTATCCCATCTAGATGCCCACTTCACTTCACTTTCCTGGACAGAAACAGAAGAGGAAATCAGAAAAGATATTGAAAACAAAAAACTCATGAAATTTATTTAAGACACAAACCGCAGATTACTTCAGAAAAAACTTGCCTGGAAATCGACATCATATGTGAAGATAATCTCCTTCTTTTGTTCAACTTCTTGAGGGGTAGCCGAGCTAACGACCAGGCGTTTCGTGTGAGGATCACAGGTCGTCAGACGGGTCTTCTCACTCCACTCTCCCTCATACTCATGCTTCACACTACAAATCAATGGAAGGAACATCAGTACTGAAGGACAGGGGATCCCAAGAGACATTAAAATTAAGAATAAGAACTGCACCTGTAAGGTTTGACCTCAAATCCCACGATTCTTGCAGCATCAGTTTGGGTATCTCTGTGATAGCGGACTGTAAATGCCAAGTGATTGTGCATAAAGAACTTCTGCTCTTTGCTCTGCGTATGCAAAAAGGAAATTAGAAAATCGAACTATCTAGCATGAAGTCCATATAGTGTCAACAATTCAAACCTACTTACCCCCTCGTACTGGCCTTTAAGACCAACATGATAACCAAGCTGATAAACAACAGAGGGAGAACCCTGGTCAACTCTTTCGATTGGAACAACCAGAGGAAGGTTGTCGAGGATCCTAAAACACACAATAAAGACTTGTAAGAAAACTGACAGAGGAAAGCATGTTCTTTATACAAAGAATCAAAGAAAAGTATTTGTATTTGGTCTTACATGTTGACACGGTACTCATCATCGATCTTTTCTTTAAAGGCTTTAGCTGTCTTGGCATCAAGAGTGACCCGGCAGAGAATATTGCACATTTGTGCCTCCCGCATTTTAAACTGCAATTGTTTCAACCCCGCAACGGTTAGAGTTAAATTACAGACACAATATTAATAAATACAAATTAAAAAAATGAATACGAGACTAACCGAGTATGGGGCATTCTCTATCCGGTCACCTCGAAGCACTTCTCCAAGATTCTCAGTACTGTCCACAATCTTGCTAGGGCGACAAAAAGGTAGGGAGTAATACGAGTATGGAAGCTGAGTCTTTATAGAAGTTAATTTATTCACTTTCACCTTCAGCTCATCACCCTGCAACATACAAGAAAATAAGACTCAAATTTGAATATGATTTTGAAGTGAAACATGCAATTATACTTTGATTGAGATTCGTAAGATAACATGCAGGACCAAAATTTCCCTTGTACCCAAAACTTGGATTTTGTAGTAAGGACAAGCGAATCAAGAGCAAGAGATCACTATAAACCTAATAAATGTTATCAAAATTACAGCGAATATGGCTAATCCAGAAGTACATATATCGATATAGATCGCCTAAGATGCGACATTGTTCAGATCGAGAGATTTTTAAACCACATATGAAGTGAAATTACCAATTCTCTTAGAAACCAAAAGTCGGTGCATCAGCACTCCGACTCTCATTATCTCTCGCTTTCTCATGGATCAAGTACGAATTAAACCTAAAGGAAATCGAAACGCAGATCCAGGAGATCCAATTCAGATCTAAAAGCCTAGAAGCACAAATCCGAAACCTTTTTACCTTTTCGAAATCCTGAGGAGCAACACCTGGGAGATAGAAAGAGTTAGCGCCATGGATGAAGAGCAGAAGAATCAACGCGATCGCGGATCCAGAAGATTCCGATATCCTTCTACTGCTCCTCCGAAACTCCATAGCCATTGGCTGTTCCACACAAGGAAGAAAATAACCAGATCTGAAGCTACGCTACAGTAATATATGACTCTTATACGCTTCGAGACTCGAGACTCTGACCCGCCTCCTGTAAATGTAATTTAATACATCCCGGTTTACCTTTCCGGTTTGGCTATTTACTGTTTAATCCTTATCAACCATTTATAATTCGCCACGTCACTACGCGTGAAGTCATTCTACGAGGCTACAAGCCTCTAACTAATGGGCCTAAACTCCCACCCTATCAGAAAATCAAGCTTTTCAAGCATACTAGTATACATTTTCAAGATTGTGTTAAAGTGTGGTCTGAATAATAATATTACTTTCCACATGAAGAAGATATATATTTTTACTTGTTTGTATTTAAAGAATTCATGTTTCTTTTAATGGAGATGAAAGTTGTTAAGATGTTAGTCGAATTTGTACCAAAATCAAATTTCAAAGTGATTATCACATTATTATTTCATAACTCAGTATGATACTTGACGCAGGATTTATAACAAAATCAAACATCACAATCTTTCATAACGAGATCAGAGTCTTTGGTTTTATTCTCTTGCAAAGTAAGCGCAAGAAAAGGAGAAGCACAAGGCCTTAGTTTTGACAAGTTAAACAACGAAACAACACAACACATCAAACATAACACAACAACAACAACAACAACAACAACGAGGACTGCATATTTACACTGATCTAAAAGCTTTTCAGATTCAGCAGCACAAGACCAGACACAACAGGGAACTCTTATCTTACCAATCTTCAAGATCTAGTAACCTCCCTGAATAAACGCATTTAGGCGTTGAAGCTCCTCTCTATGCTCATGAACCACAGCACGGACCACATCTCCTATGGACACCATTCCGATCATGCCCTTGTCTTTGATTACCGGAATATGCCTGATTCGGTTATCTGTACATTGCACAATCACAAAACCGTATTTTTACTTGCCTCAATAGGTTTTAAACCCAATAGTTCGTATCTTTAGTGGAAAAGCATAAAGTTTTCTCCATACTACCTGTCATCAGTTGCATAGCACGCAAGACCTTGGTCTCCGGTGTCACAGTGATAAGCTTATTCTGCGATTGCCAGTTCACAGATCCAGTCAGATTCCATCCACAAAAGCAAGAATAATCATAAAACCGTGCATTTACATTACCTCTTCAGTCATAATGTCTCCAACTTTTGTTGATTTGGATGATCTCCCTTGCACTATAATCTTCCGTAGATAATCTGAAGAAATCGCAACATCGAAAAATGAACCACAAAAACACAACAAAAACATTCCTTGCTAGTCAGATCTAATTTTACCTCTCTCAGTAATGATACCAGCAAGAACTTGTTGCTCACCAGGTTTCACAACCACCAAGGCACCAACATTGTGTTGTGTCATCTAAACAAAATCAAACACACAATAAATTCCAAATCCACATCAAGAGATCTAAAAAGGCAAAAAGGAAGAGTAAGCAAGCATACGGATTTAACAGCATCATAAACAGTGTCATCAGTAGTACACCAAAGCCAAGATCCATCAGCACTTTTGCCTTTGGATTTCATGACATCGGAAATAGTTGTGCTCTCGAATCCAGTCTCCTCCATACGAGCAGGTTGAGTTGATTCAGAGCGTGAACAAAACACAGAAGGCTGAATCGCCGGGTTAATCACACGGAGATGTTGCAGCACAGAAGCTTTCACAACATTTCCACCGGAGACCAAGGATCTAACCACAGCTTGCATCTTTCACCTGTCAACAGCAATCAAAATCATCAGTTACTGAATAACGAGATCTATAAAAGGCTTAATCTAATGAAACTAGATCGAAAAGAGAAAGATCTTAACATGAGTGCATTTGATTGGCAAATCCTAAAATGGCAACTTTCCTAAATCTGACTATAAAAATAGAGAAAAAGCTTCAGAGATAGAGAAGAAGGAGAGATTCAGACCTGAGATTAGAGAAGAAGAACAGATCGTAGTTGAGCTTTGAGAACCCTAGAGTAGAAGGAAGAGACAGCTGACCAGAGAGTTGAGTGGAGAGTTTGAAGGGTTCTAATGGATAATCATCAAATATATAAATAAACCATTTCCGATAGCGAAATACTGGCTACTTTTTTATTTTCCTTAAAAAATATCTTATAAAATTTAAATTAGTGATGACTGTGTTCCTTCATTCAATTATTCTATCATATCCTGACAAATATCTACAGGCCCACTTTAACAGGCCCAGATTTGGATACAAATGAAATTCAATCGAGACGACGTAGAAGATATTCAACCTCAACGAGCTTAGTGAGAGGGATAAGCCATTCTCCATAGATGCGAGAGACAAGTAATGGATCCACTTTATACTTCTTCTTACTCTCATCACCAGAGTCAGTGATGCATTTTACTTCTTGTCCAAACGTTTCTGCTTTCTTCTGTACTCTCTTCTTAACCATTTCTTCTACTTTCTCAAACGTCAAAAGCTTCATCAAAGCTTCTCTGTCCTACAAAAAGTTTTCAGAAACCCATCACTTTTGATCATTTTATATCAAACCCAGGGTGAAACTGAATCCTATCCACATTGTGACACTAATTTTACCTGAGCTCGAATCGCACGCTCGTAATCTTGAGGAGCATCTCTGAATTTGACTTCGGCAACAAATTTACCATAGTGAATCCTTCTTGAAAGAGCCTTTACAAGACCAAGCATCAAATCAGACATAAACCAGATGTAGAACTAAGTTTGTTAAATACATTGATCTTCTTACTTGTAAACACGCAAGATCACTAGCAGCAGTTGATGGATAGTTGCCATCATCGCCAGGTTTGACAAACAAAGGAAGCAATTCTTTAAAGTATATATCCCAAATATGTTTGTTTATGTTAACGGATAGAGCCTTAGGGTGCAAAGCCTAATCGAGAGAGAAAAGGAAAGTATTGTTAGATTTAAGCATTCAGAGTTCTAAGAAAAATGCTTAAGACTTTACTACTACATACCGGTGGATATTTGTGCGTAGGAAATACCGCGTGAGGAATATTCTCTAGGAAGAAAGGATTCTCTTCCGGGTTTTCATATCTTCCTACCTAATACATACACATAGATAAGACTTTCAAGTGAACCAATCAACAAACATATAGGCTCATATCCAGAAATAACTTAAGAATATAAAGCAACGAGATGAATTTATCATGCAACAAGACTTTCAGACATAAAACAGTAATCCTCCATTTCCAATCTCCACATATGATGAGATTTTCATAAGGAAATTTCTTATACATATGATAAAGTTGGAGCCTTTCTAGGCAGATTCACACCCAAATCCAAACAAGAAGTTAACACACAATGAGATATACATACAGGCAAAGCCAAGTTATCTTCTTTTGCAATGGAAGAGACACATAACAAACAAAGGCAAGCTAATTCAAGAATCCAAGCTTATTAAAGCCTCAATCAAATTGACTTGTAGCTTACTTTCTGCTAATTTCATGAAACAATCTATAACAATGCTACAGCAAAACTATGCATTTGATATCTCTGTATCTAATTTGTAGCAAAAAAGGATCAGCTTTTTTAAATGGGAAGTGAACCTTAGCTTGGATGGTTTCTATCTCTCTGACAAAAAACTCAGTGAGAGAAGAAGAATTTCCAGAATCTAGACAACGAGATTCTTCGAATGCAGGGGCATTGAGTGGAAACTTAGCTCTCTCTATCAAGCTGAAGACGATGGTGTCTTCTTGTCTAATCAACGATTCTCTAATCGAGTCAAGACTCAGTACATTGGAACAACCCGAACTCGAATCCGATTCGACGACTCTTGCCATGCCGCTTCAACAGTATCTCCTGCATCGATGGTGTAAGTAAGCAAATAAATCATTCATGGAAGCTAGAGATGAGCAATTGTGAATGACGAAAGTCAAAGGACTTACCTGAAAAAATGAAGCTTTTCTTCTTCTTCCTCCTCTTCCTCAATTCTCGCGTTTGACATAAATTGCGAAGAGAAAATAATGGGCCCGAAGCGTTGAAATGAAAACAAGATCCAGATCCGATGATTTGGGCCCAACTATATTCACCAACTGGACCGGAAATTATTTATAGAATTATTATATATCTTATCCGCAAATATTGTTTTTTTTTTTTTTTAAATCGTGAGCTAAAAGCTAGGGCTTAGTATTCCCTCCAAAAGTGGTACCTGTTCAAGTTGCTGTGATCCAGGTTCCCATCAAAGGTGCTGCTGATGACCAAGCACTCTCTGATGCTTGTGAAGCTGTTGAATCCACCTAGCTCGGGGCTGGAATCCGTGCTGAAGCAGATATCCGCGACAACTATTCTAGCGGCTGGAAGTATGCGGATCAAGAACTAAAGAGTGTTCCTTTGAGAATTGAAATTGGACCCCAGAGATTTGGCCAATGATCAGGTGAGAATAGTGAGTCGTGGCAATGGAGCTAAGATGGATGTCAAGAGAGGGAATTTGATTAAACAAGCTAAGGACTTGCTAGAGAAAATCCAGATACCTCTATGATGTGGTAAAGAGAAAGGTGGAAGAATGTAGACTATGTAGTCAAAAGGTTGAAACTTGGGATAAATTTGTGGAAGCTTTGATTATGTCATGAGCAAATTGGGACTCATATCTCTCTTCTTATTATGTAATTTTTTCAAGAAGAGAAAATAAGGCAAATCCATTAATTAACATGTTGCTTCTCACAAAATTACATACTCTGTTCTACTTTTTGTAATGAATTGTGAAATACCAAATTCTCACCTTGAGAGAGGGTAAGGATGAGTTCGAGAGCTGTAAGTGATTCTAGAAGGTTCTGGAATACGTTCAGAGACTATATAAGCAGTGTCTTTCCACCAAGAAGCTTCTCTCTCCTTCAAATGAAGCCTTTGTTTAGCATCATCCAATGCAATCTCTAACTCCTTTATCTCCTCTTGTTGTCTTGTCTCCATGAGCTCGTGTAGTCTTCTCTCCAGCTCATACGGACACACTCCTTGTTGTTCCTCCACTAGTCCTGGACACACGTGTCCCAATCTTAATCCTTCTGCATCTTCACTCGAAACCTCCTGTGAAATTGTTTCACAACCATTTAGAGTAGAGAATCAGCATCAATTCTTCCAAAAAGAAGTCATGATCTGCTTAGACAGTTATTTTACCTTGAGCTTAGAACTTGTACCATCATGGTCTTGACCAATCTGAAGAAGCTCAAACTCAGCTTCAAGTTCAGCTTCAAGCTGATCCATTTCACCTCCAGAATCATCCCCTCGCTTATATACATAATGTGACAAAGACCCTTCACCTCCAACACTCATAGATGTCTCCATGATCTGAGGAGAGTAATAGTGATCAGTAGACGATTCAGGGCCATCTACAACATCACTTGTGGCGGAATATGCAGAGGTTTCAGTTTGTTCTTGCTTCCGAAAGCGAAACTCTTGCTGTTTTCGCCTCAATTCATCGTTGTGAAATTCTATAAACTTGTCTATATCGTTCCGTAACTCGACAAACTCTTGCTGTTTTCGCCTCAGTTCTTCGTCTCGACATTCCAAAAACCTCTCTAAATCGTTACGTAACTCAACAATCTTGTGAATCTCTTCTCTACCAGTAGCAATCAAATGTATCAAATAACAACTCAATCCAATGCTGAACAAAAATTCCCTTCTTTGCAATTCTACAGACCAAAATATATTTCAGAAAATTAGAAATGAGAGACAAAATTAAATTAATGAAACTGATCTATGACAATTCAACTCACACATAATCATTTGATCGGAGGTCGTTTTCAATTCGACCAAAACTTTAGGACAAAACCAAAAAATTGTTACCGGAATGGATAGTAGGTGACGGTGAATCTGAAAATTGGCCAACACCATGATGACCATCCGAGGAAGTTCTGATCCTCACCGCGTCACAGTCGTCTCTCACCCTTGCTTCTGCCATAGCCGTCTTCTTCCCTTGTGGAGAGAACCACCGAGACACGATTCTCCGTGGAGACGGACATCTGATCCGAATGCACCCTGCTCTCACTCCTCCACCGTCATCCATTGGAGAATTCAAGATCAATCGTTAAAGAGAAAAGAATATAAGGAGAGGTAGATAGAGAGAGAGAGAGAGATATTTAAAAGAGAAATCGGAATCGGGATTGAAGAAACAGAGAGAGAGAGAGAGAGGGGAATGTTATTAATGAGAATCACGAGAAACAGAGTGTTGTTTCGACTTCGATCTACAAAGAAAAATAAATAAATAAAAGCGTTTGGAGGGAAGCTTTTGAATTTTTGGAAACTCTTTAAATGCCAATCACCTCTCCTTTTCCCAATTTATAATAAAATCTCTAATAATTGGCATGTGACAAAATTCTATGAATAATAATAATTGCTATAATTCATTCACTCTGTTTTCTTTTATTTTGACAAGTATTCATTTTTTTACTTTATTAGTTATTTTAGGTCAAAAGTATGTTTGAAGATCAAATAAGGCTACATTTGGAGGTGTCATAACTCATAAGCCTATTGAGACTTCTTTTAGTCATAAATGGTAAATCTAGTAGCGTTGACCAAAAGAAATGGTAATGAAGTATCACACAAATTCAGTAATATTTTCATCCTCTTTTTTAACGACCAGTGATTTGTCATTATTGTAGAATGTAGACCATTTATGAATTTTACCAAATGTCGTTGGGAAAAGACCATAATAAATTCAACACAAGTCAGTGTTTATTTGTTTGAATAAGAATGTCCAATTTTGAATTTGTATTTTCCGAAGTTAATTCCCGAGAGCAATTTTTAAATTTCACAAATCCGTGTAAAATCTGCAATTTTGTAACAACAATGCAGTTGTAAAAATACAATTCTCAACAGTAAGAGAAAGAGATAATACGATCTGCACAAGGTACTTTTCTTTCTCAAAGCAAATATGTTTCAGTTTTTTTTGTATTGAGAAAAAAAAAAAGAATTGATATTGAAAAATAATAATGAAAAGCTAAATCAACATGTGTTAATATTACAGTGTAAAATTACAGTTGATTTTTACAGTGCTAAGTAAACTGGAGAAGAAAAGAAAAAACAAAGAGCAAAATCGTTGGGGCTTGGATCTCAGTCAGTGGGTCAGAGCGAAGATGACATTTGGCTTATGACCTCCAACGTAGCTTTCGTCTTCGTTAAATGATCCATCTACGTTTGTTTAAAACACTCTTTTAAAATCCATCTACATTTTTTTAGATAAAATATGTTTCAAAGTTTGGTTTCCATGGCTTACCAATTCTTTCTCGCGGTTGTCCTGCGAATTACAAAAAAAAAACGAATCCAAGGGTAAGTCTTTATGAGAGATTACGTGAATGTGAAGAAACGAGTAAAAGGCTTTATATGTAATTATTATACCCTGGTTTGAATCTCCTGTTTGAGAGCGCTTATCAGTCTAAACAAGTAGTTGTAGTTGGATTTGTGAGGCTCCTGCAATCATCACAATCACACAATAATCAAGATCATAATCATAAACCATCAATATAATCATACAATAATCAAGATTATCATCATAAACCATCAATAATATACCTGGATGGTGTCGGGAAGAGGAAGACCTTCAAAGACTTGAGGAGGCTCTCGAAGTTGAAGGATCTGACTCGGGTCATTTGGCAAAGGAACGGTCCATGAAGGCGGATTAGAAATCCCCAATGATGCAAAACCGTGTCCTGTTCTATTCTCCCACATTTGTTGTTGTTGAGTTGAAGATCCATCACTTATGATTTGATGGTGTAACTATGAAAGAAAACACAAGAATAAGTCTAAGACAATGCTAAAAAAAAGTCAGAAATTTCCAGCTTGTTAGATTTTTACCCTTGGAACATTTTCGACTGTGTAAGAAACAAATCTGGGTTCTGTGAAGTTGTGAGGCTCAAGAACAGCATATGCGCCTTCGTTTTCATAGTTTCTTGAACCCTAATAACAAAAATAACAAGAAAACCAGTTGGAAAAGCAACAGAACAGGTAGCATTCAGAGTCTGTTTGATGTAAGAGGCTAAGGGAAATGACCTGTGAGAACATTGAAGCGCTGAAGACTGTGCAAAGTTTTCCGGATTCTACTTCATGATCTATCGAGTAACCGCTTAGCATGTTTCCCATATCTTCTCGATCTGCTCGTGCATCGGGGCCTTCATGTGATCTTATAATCATCTAAGATGGAAAACAAACAGATTAAGTTTGTACATAAAAAACTGGAATATCAATTTGGAGAGCAGTTTTTACCCAAGTTATACAGTTACCTTTAAGTTTGACTGTTGTAGAAAAGTCTCAGTGCAATCAGCTCCCCAAAGAAGGCCCTTGTAATTGCTTTCGCTCAGACCATCAGCCATCCATGGACATGACCATAAAACATGGTTAAGAGTTATATTCTCGTCATCGTTCTCACCAGCTTGTCTCCTCTCAATCTTGTCAAGTTCGTCTAAAGAACCCAACCACAAAGATGGATTCACGCTATCTTCTTGGACCCGCGAACTTTGAAAGAGACCTCCATGAGTTGTGTAGACGCTATTTGATATGACTGATGCCAAAGGAAGCATTTTAAAACAATCGATACACTTGGAGTATAGCATTGGACCGTGCTCACCATATCTGTCACATATTTCTTTCAAGAAATCAAGCTCTTCTGCAGAAATTCTTGTTTCAGAGCTTCCTCGAAGTAAAATTACATTCTCAGGCATCAGAATCTGTAGTTAGAAACAGCAAGTATCGATCAGATGGGAACAATGTTTGATTAATTAAGACGGTAAAACAGATACAATGAAAGAAAACATATCTAGGGCCTTAAATCTAATGCTTTAATGTTAAGATTAAGCAAACTCATGTTGAATATTCTATCTGTGATTTACTGAAAACAAATTTAATGCCTTCAACAAAACAATCCAGAGTAAGCCTTAAGACCAATGCTACAGCACAGAAAGTAGTTTATTTATCATTTAAAAGACAACATGGGAGAAACAGTCTAATAAAAAAAGCAAACAAGTAATGAAACTATATATGTACCTTCCAGGCTAAGAGAACCAAGAACACTTCTAGGCTCCAAGAACCTCGACCAATGTAATTACCATTGAACACAAAACATTGATTCTGTGAAGGCCTTCCTGATTGATCAAAGATTTTGAGGAGATCATGTAACTGACCGTGGAGATCCCCAACCACAATCACTCTAGAATTCTCACTACAGCAATCAATTTTAACGCAATTGGCTTCTTTGTCTAGAATCTGCGAAGCACATTCCACCAGAGAAAAAGCCACAGAATGTGGCAATATCAAAGGGAACTCGGAAACCGAGTTCTTCCATGTGAACTGGTTTATTAAACCCATCAAAGTCTCAACCCATTCAAGATTTAGCTGCGACTCTAAAGGCCAAGAGATTGGCTCCAAAACAATGTCACCAAAATCCCCACCCACAGAATCATCTCCGTTTCCCAAATAAATCTCCATTTCCACTGGCTCAGTCATGTCCTCTAGATGATCAACACTTTCTGGTTCGTATTTTCTACTACCCATTCCTTGTACACTTGCTATCATCCTCGTCACCTGTTGCTTCTCTTGATCATCCAATGTCTCATATTGAAACCCACGAAGAGACTTTAAAGAACGGTCTGAGTTACTCACCTGCACAAAATTCAAAGTTTAAATTCGATTTTCACATTTAATGCTTCACCACTTAACTCTATAAAACATAAAGATGTGTACTTACCACTTGCTTTAGAACCGAACACAGAATTCGAGTTACACTATTTTCCGGATCCTGAAACAAAGATCGTAACTTTGACGTTAAGGGTAGTAAGCAAATAGTGAGAGATGCTAAAAAGCTCAGACTAACATGGAGACTGAATTGTTACTTTAAGAAAGTCTCGATCAGCACCACGTCGAGATATTTCTTTCAACATAAGCAGAGTACGCAGTTGCTTATAGTTCTTCATTCTCGTCGTTTTGACCGCACTTAGCTTTAAGAATGCGAATTTGCAAGCTTCAAGCTTCGCGTCTAAAACCCTTTTCGAAATTTCTACAGAAAAAACAATCAAATGTTATTACATTACTGGTTTTTGTTCGGACACAGAGAAAGTTGTCATGGAGATGAGCCAAATCAAATTGACTTTAAAATCTCCATCGAAGAAACAATTTTACCTGGAGGCGGCATATCGAAAGATTTGAAATTTACGGTGAGAATCACAGTTCGGTGAGGTCGTCGACACAGTTCCGGCGTCGATGTCGATTACAACCGCCGCTTCACCACCGAGGAACGAGCGTTTTCGTGTTAACTTCTTGCCGGTTCTAGGTCAGAGAAACCACGCGCATTTCGCTGCTTAGCAAGCGAAAAGGATGTTGTTTTTCATTTTTATTGGGCCGGCCCATATATTTAAGGCCCAACATTAGAAACAAACACAGTTTGTCAGTTTTGTCTGGAGTGTGTGAGATTTGTGATTGACCAAAACCAGTAAAATCTGTTCTTCTGATAAACCCACAACAATGGCGAAAGAGAAGGCATGAGAAGAAGAAGCTTTAATGGCGGGAGTGATTAGGGCTAAGCAGCTGTTTCTATGCTCGTCGATTCTCTCGAGCAACAACAATAAAGTTCTATTACGCCTTCCTCGGCGTAGTATCAATGTAATTGCGGGAAATCTCAATTCGAGCGAGACGAAGAAGAAGGAGAAAGAGAAGAGGAAGAGAAGAAAAGAGATTGAGGTGGCAAAAGCTACGGCGGAAGCAGTGGTGAATAAGGAAAAGAGAAGGACACGGTCGAGCAGAGAGTATGAAATCGCCGACGGTGACGAAGTTCCGTCCTCACATGTGCCTGTGATGCTCGGAGAAGTTCTTGACATTTTCTCTTCGGTTCGCTTGCGAAGTTTCGTTGATTGTACTCTTGGCGCAGCTGGTCACTCTTCTTCTGTAAGTTTCTTCTTCATTGTTGATTAATTAGCTCAAAACGAATAAGCTCTTACTTAGGATCTATTAAGTATGATGAACAAGTTATTGTGCTTTAGATTGTGAATTTGTAATTTGTGTTTCAGATTATTCAAAGCCACTCTGAATTGAAGCATTTTGTTGGAATGGATGTTGATCCTGTGGCAAGGAAACTGGGTCACTTTCATATTGATTCCCTCATGCATCCA